GCTTCTAACGCTTCGGGTGTCAAGGAAAATTTTCGCTTTGTTGTCATGAGATCGGTCAACGGCGCAGCAATTGTTGCAAAGTTCGGTACAAATTTACGGTACCAACCACACAAACCCATAAAGCTTCTCAAGCCTCTCAGAGTTTTCGGCACCGGAAAATCAGTTATAGCCTTTACCTTTTCAGGGTCGGTTCGAATACCACCATCTCCTATTATGTGACCTAAATAGCGAACTCTCCGCATACAGAAATGACTTTTGCCAATATTGATCGTCAATCCAGCACGCTTGATTTGAACGGCTATTTCTCTGAGAACTCCCAAGTGACTCTCAAAGTCAGAAGAAACTACTAAAAGGTCATCCAAGTAGACAAACACTTCATTCCTAAGATGCGCGGGAACGACTTTATCCATTAAACGAGACATGGTACTGGTGGCATTACATAGCCCAAATGGCATCACCTTAAATTGGTAAAGAGGCCTACCAGGGACTGTAAAAGCAGTCTTATCTCTAGACTGAGCTTCAAGTGGCACTTGCCAATAAGCATCTTTTAAGTCGAGACTTGTTATGAACTCGGCTTTAGGTAAGCGGCTTAAAATTCCGCTGATCTGGGGAAGTGGATACGCGTCTTTTTCAGTGAAACTATTGACCTTACGGCAATCTAAACAGATTCTCACTTTGCCTGGTTTGGTGACCATGACAATAGGTGAAGACCACGCGCTATCTGATCCCTCAATCACGCCTAGTTTTAACATTCTGTCAATTTCTTCATACATACTCTTCTCCACTGCAGGCGAAACTGGGAAATGCCGTTGTTTTATTGGTTTAGCATTCCCTACATCAATCGAATGAGTTATCAAGCTAGTCTTGCCAAGACCTTCATCGGTAAACGACGGAAAACATTTTATGACACTAGCTAGCTTTGACTCCATCTCTTCAGATAAGTCGTGTTGATCAACTCCGACCTTTCTGCCAACATCACTCGATTCGAGTTCTGATATCTGCAAATTCTTCGGAAGAAGATTATACAGCCTCCAAAAGTCTATACCCAAGTAAAGATCTTGTTTTAGAGAAGGCACTATATAAATAGTTAAAGTCTTTGACACACTACCATAATCTACATCAGTTTTCATTCTGCCTACAATACGTTGTGGACTTCCATCTGCCGTGGTAGCACTAATATTTAGAGACTTATACGCTTTTTCTGTAGAAATTATCTCTTTAGCTAATTCACCGCCGAAACAACTAATGGAAGCACCGGAATCGAGTAACCCATAAACAGTACGATCGAGTACACGAACAGGCAAAAATGGACGAAGATCTCTAGTTCCAGTAGGAATACCACATATATATTTCAATCCGAGAGTGCAGTTTTTGACATTCTGCCAAAACGTTCTGATTCTCCTAGAACTTCGAGATGTTGATTTCTGAGTACATGATTCAAGGTAAAAGCAAGGTATTTTTGTTTCAGATATATCTTTGATTTTACAATGCAGTGAACTGACATTGTTAATTGGAACGTCAAGTGTTTTAGATGGTGTTGCTTCTAAATCTGCAACAACCTTTAATCGGTCATTGTTGACTGATGACGTGCGGCATTCGAAGTCTTCACTTTGTGTTGCAACTTCGTAATGCCGAATTGCGAGTTTTTTGTACACTTAACACAATTCGGTTTATAAGTGTTAGCTGCTCCACAGCCGTAGCAAAATACACGCTTTTCAGACAGACAATCTTGGTATCTATGCCCCTCTTTGCGGCAATTCCAACACACCAAGGAAAATGCGTCAACTTCTAAATCGTTATCGGATTCGAATTCAACTTGAGAATCTACTTTCGAACTTAACTCCGAGACTTCTCGTCGAAAAGGAGTTACTTTAGTGTAACCGTGCGAATGTTTGACATCGTCAAGAAAAGCTTCGCGTCGACGACATATTTCTCTCAATTCGGGAACATTTCCAATATCTACGTTCAGTAGTTCGTGCCTTATTTCAGGTCTTAAATTGTTCTTAAGAACACGTGCAAGTTTTCGGGAGGACCATGGTGTCTCCAATTGATCAATTAAAACGTTTACACTGTCATAAAAACTGTCGAATGTCTCATTAGGCTTTTGTTTTCTGTTTCGTATTAACTCTTCTATGTCTACATCGTCTCTTCTTTGACGAAATTGACACCGCAATGCAGAACATAGCCTGTCCCAATGAACTTCGGAAACTGATTTGTGGTAACGCCAATAAAACTCGTTGGCTTTACCCTCAAAGAGAACGCTAACATGCCTACAGAGAACTGGGAAGTTTCCTTCTAACGTTTGGTGCGTGAGGGCTTCTACTCTGTAGATAAAATTATCTATAGTTACACCTGATCCTGAGTATTTGATTTTCCATCCGTTCAGGATGTGAACTACTTTGTCGGGTCTATTTATGAGATCAGACGAGGAACTTCTATGAGAAACCGGCGATCCAGTGTTAGTCATAAACCTATTTGCATTAGGTATTCGTTCACCACCGCTAGATTGTGGTTGGATGGCTTCTACTAACGGTGTAGGCGTAGTTGACCTTTCGTCACCATTAGCAGCAGAATTAGTAGGTGTTGCAATCATACTTCTAACACTTTCAACCACGGTAGTTTTCACTAATTCGGTCATTTTCTCCGATAAAATCTCGAGCAATCTACGCTCCATGGCGAGTAAAGTAATAGCATTAACGTTATTAATTTGGTTGCTATCTAACCTAACTGACGTACTAGGCATATCCTCTGATGGATTTCTAGTTTCTAAAACCTCTGTTTGACGACTTCTAGATTGCGATCGTGTTTGTAACCCTTTATTTTCTGCTACTGGTCTACAAGCGGTTTCGCAAACGGGACAGAATTCGCTTCTCTTAAAGTGTAGTTCTATACACTTCTTGTGGAACTCATGATTACATGACGTTTTAAAAATGTCAGTTGCAGACTTGATCTCAAGTTTACACAACGGACAGACTGGCTTGGTTGCTCCCTCAGAGCCCTTGTCTGGAGAGTGACCTACTCCCATTTTAAGATAAGGTAACGATAGAGATAAGAGATAAGAGATTTCAAATAGCGATAATCAAGATACAATAACTCAAACCAACAACGAAATAAGATAATAGCAAAATAATACAAAAAAAAATATATATAACAAAATCTTTTAGAAATTTGAACTCAATGCTTGATGTCCCCGTGTCGTAGGGTACCGATTTAATTAGTGAACTTCCTCGGAAAATATAGAATTTGAAGAAACAGAGTGGTGTGGTTCGCATCTTCAAAAAAAAGAATAGAACCAACAGAGAGGATGTCAAAATTTGCAAAAATATCAAACGGACAACGGCTTATTCGCAAACAAAACCTTTGTATTCCTGTTATAACTCCAACAAAATCTAACTCCTCTGAGGAGAAATGAAATTTAAATCTTACTGTTAGTCATTCGTGGATAGAGTACGTCTATATGACAGAAACTCTATATTCCAAAGCGATTGAATCTTACAAAAAAAATTAAAATTCCCAAAGTTTAGTTTACGCAACGATTTGAAAAATTTGGACGGGGCCAGAAGATCAACCACGGTTCGCTTCATCTGTATTTTCCTCCACCCAATTCTTTCTCACCTTTGCGTAATGAGGAAAATCTTTATCGTTAAAATTTAATCGTGGCCAAGAAGAAAACCCAAAGTTCTCATTCCTTGTTTTCCTAATCAATTAACAAATGAACGAAAAAAAAATTTTAGAGAAGAAAATTAAAGTTGAAAATTTGAAAGTATAGAAAAGATTTTTGAATTTATCTATCTGTGAGTCTCAATGAGGTATTACTGTACTCACTGAGGCCCCTCACGTTGGGCGCCACTTTTTTTCTTATTAATAATAAAATTATAACTGTAGCGTGTAACGTTAGAAAATCTGACGGGTTACTGAGGATCTGAGCTGCGGGGGCACGCTATAGTATCCGGCTCTAGCTCGTCGGCTTTGGGGGTGGTGGTCTTGCTTGACCCAGACCTCTGCGCTTTATTATTAAAAGAATCGAGAATTGAGCGTGCTTGCGACAAAAGAAAAGGAACTAGAACTAAACCGGAATAGAAAACAAATAAATTCAGAAGGAAGGAAAGAGAGGAAGACTAGAGATTTGAAGAAAGAAAATAAAGGATTGAGAAAGTTAATTTTGCGAGAACACGGCTGTTGTTGTGCTCGCGGTATGCCCACCCAACCTATGATCACCTTCCTTTGGAGGCATAACTCCGGTGACCCCTTCGGATACCCTACTCTCACGGATTCATCAGCAGAGTTCAAAAAGTTTTAGTTTCAGGTATTCATGATTTTAATCGTCTTTTCTAATATTCTTATAGCTAGAATAATCTAGGAACATTGTAAGATAATAGTAGATATAGCTAAAGGAACAATAGATGTGGTAATATTGACCCTAAATAAAACTTAATCGAAATTTCTCTAAGTGTAGCTGATCTAAAGAGGTAATCCTTTTTTTTTTTTTTTTTAAAGAACAAAATTATACTAAATTCGCAGCTATATTTAGATTCACTTTAACTAACTGTAATTAAGTTTTAAAACTAATATTATTGCTGAAATTCATTTACTTGTTTCAAAACTAAGCTTCATTTTTTTTATTCGAGATCAATTATAATAGATTCCGTAATCTAGATTTTATTTCTATTAGTTAACGTAATTGTTTTAGAGAAAAATGTAAGCTAAGCTCTGCACTGATTTCGAAAAGTTGCAAAAGATAATTCATTTCAATTTCAATTTAAGGAAAGCATTAAGTTAAGGTCACTTCTCTCATTCAATTTGTCGAAAGAACACAATACCATTGGTTATGTAACTCACTCAGGATAATTCCAACGAAGAAGATCGATCTCCGGCGTGGTTCACTGAAAAAGAAATTCGACAGACCCTTGCTTCCTTCAACTCTATAACTTTTCGATGCCATTTAGAACTGGCCTTAATTCATCGCTACTCTAACTTTAACTTTTCTCGATTTAAGAAACTTTATAGATAGTTAAAACTAAATTAATTCGAAGAATTTAAATTAATTCAAAATTCACACATTAATTCAAAGTATGTTTTGCCTCTGGGCACTTTCTTCACAGTATTCCAGAATTGTATTCGATTTGTTGACATTTGATTCGCATTTGTCTCTCAAAAATAACTCTGCTTCGCAGCATACTTAAATTGTTTTAATTCGTATAGATCAGATCGGCTGCCACAAAAGCGAGAAAAAGTAGTTTGGCTAAATTCGTTAGGCCATGCCAAAAGACAAAAATATTGAAGGGAGGTTAAGTCTGATCGACCACGGCAAAGGCACAAAAATATGGATGTGAGGTTAAATCAGACATGACTCGCAGGTCAAAGTTTCGCTACAGGAACCATGAAAACACCGAGAAATCCCTAAACGGCTCCTGGTAGAGATGCGTTGCTCGATCAGGCAACGATGCGCTGCAGGATTACTCTCCCTCGAAGTTCAGCAGCGCAGCCATGCTAATTAGACATCCTTACGGCTCGCAAGCCCCTCCTAGGAGGCCACCCGAGAGGGGTGCTCCTTAGGACGCTCTAGAGTCCAGCAGAAGTTTTCGATGCTTGTTCCTGAACCCTCCTTAGCTCCTTTTAAAGCTCCTTAACTCGTTACGAGATTATTCCGTCCCGAGTTGACAATTCCTTAACTCGTTATGAGTTCATTACGTGGGGCACGATCTGTAAATGTAATTTAATTAAGACCGTGTCGCACTGGCGGCGGCTATGGCGTACCTGTGCCCCAAAAATCTAAATCCAGGGAGTTTTCCTCTCGGTTCTCCACGGATGATGATTACTGTGCCGACTAGGCGCCAGCAACGGCGGCGAGGAGCCCCGTCTGGGTCTCGGCAGCGCCGGCAAAAAGCTAAGTTTGCGACCTGCAGAAAATTCGAGGTTAAATATAACCAAAATACAGACGCAAGCTTACTCACTTTATAAAAATCACTTGTGGCACTTGTTCACCACTTTATCTATCCGGATGCCACTTCGCGATTTAATATTTCGCACTTTACAGGCTTTTTAACTTAATTTTCCCGAATAGAGAGACGCACGTCCACTTCTGCTGCCGGTTCAATGAAAAAGAATGGCCGCAGGAAATGAACTTGACAGCCTGGTCAAAGGACAACAATCTGGCAACGCTTTTAAGCTTGCCATCGATACTTGATCGATATGGCTACACCGATCTATTTCTGATCTGGTAACGCTTCTAAGCTTAATATCGATACCTACTCGATATGGCCACACTGATCCATGTCAGATCTGGTAACGCCAACTTCAGGATCTCAAATTCAAATATTAATTGAAATTGGTTTACATCTGAGATAAAATACTAAACAAATTCTGGTCTAGCCAATCGGGTAAGCACAAATCGAGACAAACTCGGTTCGTTTCTCAAACGAATTTTTTTAATGAATATTTCACTTTGCAGACGCTACAGGCGCC